CGTTTGAATGTCGAAAACTCGCGCCTTCTCAAGAATCGACCACAAACCCCCCAAAAACGGAACAACGGGACTATTTTTTGAGAGAGTGATCGTTGGAAAAAAGGTCAGGCTATTTGTTTGAAAGCGCTAATCTTCTAGTTTCTAATTAGCCTTAGAAAGTGCACTGCGGACACTGCACTTTTCAAGCCGTCTTGCAGCCCCGTCTCTCTAGATACGACCCCCTCCCCTTTCGTTCGACCGAATACGACCCCCTCGTTGTTCTTTGCGCAACGGGCGGTTGATCCTGATCCCACGTTGACAGCAGGAACACCTCACACAAGAACGAATTTCCTCTATGCTTGCCGTTCATATCTGACAATGTATCTGCTGCAATACGATGTATTGCTAGGGCACAATTGAGCGATGATATTGTTCTAGTCAACATTTCGAATGATACCATCAAATCAAATTTTGAGGAAAAGACTGCGATGGCAGTGCTTGACAAAGGGTTGCGTTACATGTCCAAAGGGTAAGAATGGGGATTGCGCTTCTGCAGGCGTAATTTATCAGATTCAGTGTGAGGCATGTAATTCAACTTACATAGGGGAACTGGTAGAGTTTTATCAGTACGAGTCAAAGAGCATCTAGCTGGTAAACGCAAGGCGCAGTAATGTGTAAGCTTTGGGAAAGCACAGAATAAAACAGCATGCTCAGTGATATCAGGTGTACGATATTGGCTCACGAGACGGAGATTTCGTCGAGAAAAGCGTTGGAAGCGTTCTGGATTTTAGCTAGAAATCCACAGATGAACAACCGAAATGAGGGTGTGTCAATCACAAATGATCTCTTGCCATTCATGCAACACTGCGAGTTACTTCCATAGTTAGCGAACGTGCTTGTCCGCAATATCAAAATTGCATAAGGACAACAGAGTAAGGTCATTCGCTACTAATGTACTGACTGTGTGTAGCACCCTGCTACACTTCGCAGTGGAAACAAGGAGAACCTTTTGAATTTTGGGGGTTTCCCGAGCGTTCCTGACAGAACGTCAGAAACGCTAGAGCGGAGGAGGCGTTCGGTGGGATAGTACTTGGGATGGTAAGAAAGTCCTGAGCCGATTTTTCGAAAGCTCCAGAACTTTCGCTTATTGATCGATACCTAGAATCTGCTACGTGATAGATTATCGCTGTCGATCATACTTCTCCGCAGTAGGTATATATTGCCGGGTTGCCTTCTTTAACTTTAACTTTAAATCATGATGTCGATTCCACAAGAGCACTTTCGAGCGATCATCTTCAATGAATGGCGCTGCGGCACAGGAGCAGTGGGAACCGTCAACATTATCAGCGCATTGGGAAGGGACACCACTTCCATCATCAGTGCCAAAGCTCTGGTTCGCAAGCTTCAGAGGAGGAGACACGGCTTCCGAAAACAAGACAAGGTTTGGAAGCCCCCAAACAGTGGAAGACTCCACCGTTCTCGGCGCTGTCGAGGAGAGGTTAGCACCCGCAGCCTTGTGATAAGACTCGGGTGCACCCATCCCACAGTCCTCGGTCCCCTCCACGCCCTCGCCACAGGAAAGTGCCGACTCGATGGATCCCTCATGTCTTGACCGATAGCACGCGGTTCAGGCGGGTACCCATTTGTCAGTTTCTCCTTCTTTGTCCGCACCGAAAGGAGTTTTTGGAAGGCATGATTACGAGAGATGAGAGTTGGGTCCTCTACGATTCTAACAAGCACAGTGCCGTGTGGCTCCCTCGAGGAGAAGACCCGCCGACACAAGCAAAATCGGACCTTCACCCCAAAAGCTGTCTTCTTTGCTGCCTCTGGGATTCGTGAGGAATGTTGTATTATGAGCTGCTCCCGCAAGGGCATACCGCTACCGGCAGCATTTACGCCAGTCAGCTCCAGAAACTAGCGGACGCTGTTCGAGAAAAACGACCGAGACGAACTTCTGTCCACCTACTCCACGATGACGCCAGGCCCCACATAGCTAAAGAGACCCGTGCAAAATTGGAAGAGCTGATCTGGGACGCGGTTCCCCACCCACCCTATTCCCCTGACATTGCCCTCTCTGATTATCACTTATTTCATCCCCTCAAGGCATTCCTAGCGAAGAAAAAATTCACCAAAGTTGAAGACGTTGAAAGAGCGGTCAGCGATTTCTTTGACTCTCAGTCTGCTCAGTTCTGGGAGAAGGGGTCGCTGACCTGCCCATTAGGTGGGACTCTGTAGTGAGTAACAATGGTGATTATATTGTTGAGTAGATTCCATTGTACGCGGAATAAAAAAGTAAAGCAACAAAAAGTGTCAAACGGCTCAGGACTTTCTTACCATCCTAATATAATTCGTAGGTTTTTGGTTATTTTTCAGGTCTTTGAAAACGACGAGTCCGTCGAAACGTTGGCCAGAATAAAAATTTACCACCTAACAACCTCAAGGCAGAAGTAAAAACAACTACAACATCAAATGCCGAGGTTTCAAGATGAGAGGACTTGGAATTTGTTAAAACCCTACCTTGAGAAGATCCAGCAGAGTTGCACGAATATCGTAGGGCGTCTGCAAACGAGCTGCGTTTTCCCGCAGAATACTGAGAACATCCGTGTTTTCTCGAAGCGATTTTGGCACTGACATCGAGAACATCGGATTATTGATCTCTAGACTGCCGAGTTTCGTACGAGTTATCTGAAGTCAATAATTTGATTCGAGAATGGGTTGGAAATGATTAGATTCATAAGGGGTTAGTATGTGAACATAGACTTCTGTGTTGAATGTTGAACAACTATGTCTCACATTACATCATTAAAACCGATAGTTCGGGACGACGAACAGTTTGTTGCACATCTTATGGCCACCTATCTGAGGGGGGGGGGATTCGGTGCTATGTAATTGTCCGCCTGAAGTGTCAAGCTATTATCATTCTAAAGATACACCAGTTAAGTGCTCCAGTCGGCAACACGGTTCCACTACTGCCACAAAAAAAAAGAAAAAAAATTTCTCGATTTCACCTTTGCTCAGCACGACACACTCGGCACGCAATCACCATTTGAGCTCCCCTCCTTCGCCACTTATGCTCATTTCTGTCCCGCTTCGACCTGTCTCAGTACTGAAGCATGAGACAAATGTGCCAAACTTACAATTAGTCCATTTGTGCCTACGCCCCAAAACCCTTGATATTCCATTTCAGTCAACCTCTCTCCACTTTTTTCCGATCTGCGGATCTTTTCAAAAACTGCCTTAGGCGTAACTGATTGCCTAAACTCTTTCTTTCCTAAACCAATTTTCCGCTTCATTGAGTTTCTGGTAACCAAGTTATGATTTCTTTTCAGTAGCTTCGTCCATTCGAATTGACCAGGAAATAAGAAAGTGGAGAAATTAAGTGGTCATATCAAATAATTAAAAAAAAACTACTTTACAATGCGTAAAGCCATGTCAAAGCAAACTAACGTCGGTACGTCGCAGACCATGGTCTCCCATAAAGATCACGAAAGAATCGTCGAGCTTAAAACACATTTTTGTGAAGGGAGCCTCATAAAGTTTACGAAACCATCGAAACAGGTTTTTCCTGTATAACTTCGTATAATGTATGCTATGGATAAAGGATGCGATAAGGAGGCAACTGGGAATATAGCATGAATTACTCCCATTACCACCTCACGATTGAAGGTGTTATGGCCTCCCTATACTCATTCTCTCCGGCGCGTTGCAGCACCATGTTCTCTCTCCCTTTTTCCTCTCCCCTTTCCTTCCCTCTTTCACCCCCTTCCCTTCCTTCCCCAACATCTCGAAGTGTTGCCCTTCAAACTCCCCAGTTTTGTTAGCGGTTGGTCCGGACGGACAGAAAGACACACGCACACACACCGACAAACCGACACACCAAACTTCTGGTTTATGTATGACAAGAACAACGCGTGGGATATATTTGCCACCTAAAAAATTTGCACTTGGTTGTCCGTCCCGATCATAAAGCAATATTAGCAACCAGGTTTGCTCCGCTCGCTATCGCGCGCATCACAGGGATAGATAGGAACCAAGAAAAAGCAGCATGACGTAGCCCAATAAGCACCCCACTATTGAATGTGCTATACCTTCCTTATACCCATTCTCGCCGGCGCATGGCAGCACCATGTTCTCGCTCCCTCTCTCACCCCTCCCCTGCTGCTTCCCCCCTCTACCGCCCGCCGACTCCGGCTGCCCCGGCAGCACCATGTAGAATGAGGCTGAGCGTGCTCGCTATGTGTTTTTGTTGCCCTTCGTACTCCCTGGTTTTTGAGCGGTTGGTCCGGACGGACCACACACACACACACACACACACACACACCACACACACACACACACACACACACACACACACACACACACACACACACACACACACACACACACACCACACACACACAACACACAACACACAACGCGGTTTTGTGACGCGGTTGGTCCGGACGGACAGAACACACACACACACACACACACACACACACACACACACACACACACACACACACACACACACACACACACACACACACACACACACACACACACACACACACACACACACACACACACACACACACCACACACACACACACACACACACACACACACACACACACCACACACACACACACACACACACACACACACACACACACACACACACACACACACACACACACACACACACACACACACACCACACACACACACACACACACACACACACACACACACCACACACACACACACACACACACACACACACACACACACACACACACACACACACACACACACACACACACACACACACACACACACACACACACACACACACCACACACACACACACACACACACACACACACACACACACACACACACACACACACACACACACACACACACACACACACACACACACACACACACACACACACACACACACACACACACACACACACACACACACACACACACAACACACACACACACACACACACACACACACACAAACACACACGTAATAACTTCTGGTTTATATAATGAAGTGAATTATACAAGATACGGCATCTTGATTACCGTAGCACAGCAAGGTTGCATTTGAGAGTTATGTGCACATATGCCGCACTCTATCCTGAATCGTGCCCGAGTGGAACATCCAGGACATTATCGTCGCTACTAGGTCCGATATGCATAAAAGGAAGGGAGAAAATGCTCATCTCAGAACTCTTTGTGCAAACTATTCCTCTCTCAAAATCTTGTTGGTAATTCAAAAACACTTGCCTTTTTCTTATTGTTGAGCAGAAAACGATGAAAATCCGAATCGCGTGGAAATTACACCGGCTTGATGTCGGTGACCAAGCAGAGAAAGCCAAATCCAGCCGAACTTGGGACGATCTAGGGATAGGTTGTCTTGATAACGAACCACACGTGAGAAAATAGTAACTTAATGCTGTGCCAAGCGTCATCAACTTTGCACTTACAGGAGAGGTCTTTCAGGAAATGGTGAGCTTTTTCAAAACGGTTTTTTGCATGATATAGGAGTACATGCATGGAACACCAAACTGTAGTTCATTTTTCCTGAGCGACCCTCTGAACACCAGAAAAGGGGGTCCCTAGTTCGATTCCTCGTATGACAAATTTTTGCATGCGAGTTTTGCGCGAATTTTGAAACGTCAACTCGAAATGCAAAAATTTGTCACCACGAGGAATCGAACTAGGGACCCCCTTTTCTGGTATTCAGAGGGCCGCTCAGGAAAAATGAACTACAGTTTGGTGTTCCATGCATGTACTCCTATATCATGCAAAAAACCGTTTTGAAAAAGCTCACCATTTCCTGAAAGACCTTCCTCGTTAGTCCATCTGCGATATGGTGGGATATGGGAACGAGGTGGTATTTCAAGGCTCACCGTGGTTTCGATTCTATTATTGGAAAGATTTCTGAGTTAACGCTTTTTAGGTCAACTTTAGCCAGTTTTGTCACATAACTACCTTCTGAAATCTCGAGAACAGCTAGCGCCATCCACCCATTCTACGATTACCTAGATGAAGTTACTACTCTTCGAAAATGAAAAGGCTCTCGTGTTGCGAGAACTGTACATTGCCCGATTTTGCAGATGTCTCGATGTAACGACGTAAGAGAGTGGTCCGCCCTGTTCTCGTAGAATGTGCCTTCGAGTAGTTTTGATATCATCATGAGCAGAAGGATTTTTTATAAATTTTGACGTTTATAAGTACATCTTAGTAAATGCTCAATCATGTTTGGAAAAAGCAGAAAAGACAATTCTTTAGAGACTTGATTTTTGTAGGTCTTGATCGTGCTCCAGTTCAATGGTTCGCCCAGAAGGCCAAATTGAATACGACAATCTGAGGGAATAGGCCAACTATGCCAGCGCGGCCGATAGGTGACATTAGCCGTGGGTAATTAGGACTCCGCAGAAACGAGTGTTACGCTTAGAAACGAAACAAGTTTGGTTCGACCTTAGCCGAGACGAGTATCTCCCCTCAGTCATATGCCATTTATCACTGGTAAGTTAGCCTGAGTTGAAACACCACCTCTGTCTTCTAGAAGCAGAGTTATGATCAGCCGGCATCGCAATATAATTCAGGTGAGGAAGTTGTGTGCCGGCAATGGAGAGGGGATTAGTTTGGAGGATCGGAGCAACCGCTGTCAACAAGTTTGCGATGTGGCTGCAAAGTGGAATGCACAACGCTCATGCCATGTGGGCAAAAGCGCACACCTACGCACAAGTCGCATCAAACATTCCACTCGGTCTTTAGCATAGATTCCTGGAGGACAGCCACGAATGTGGCACATCGGTGCATAGAAATTACCCGAAATGGATGTTATGGCCTTGCAACGTTAGCAGAAGCAAGAACGATTTCGGTTTAATTTTGGTACTGGCCTTTTTTGGTCGGTACACGCGCTTCCTACTTTCACTATCGAGCACTTTCAGTCAAGCATCATTATCCTAGGGTGTGTCCTAAATGAAGTTTGTACCGCAGGCACATTTCATTTTATTTTATTGATGCTTGATAAAATTTGTTGCTGCTTCCATATGCGGGTTACATGTAATGAAGCGAACAAATAACTCTGCTCTTCCGGAAATTTCGTTTGTCGCGCTGAAATCTCTCTTCCCCAATTTTTCGTTGGCAGTTTGCTGAACGCAACAGGTGAAGGTTCAGTGTCACCACCTATTTGATACAGCACTTTTCAGGATTCTGTTCTATTCCATTCAATTAATCTGCTGTTCGGTTTTGCCTAGCGATGCTCTTACATAGATAGTGCAGCATTTGTTTGAGAGCTTATTTATCTTGAAGATCTTCCAATCTTCAGGAATCGATTTTAGCCTTTTCAACGAATTCTTACAAGATGTGCTGATATTCCTCGATCGGTGAAAAATCAAAGCCACCACAAGTACAGTAACAACTGTTTATCTTATATCAGGCCGTTCAAAAAATTCTGCCGTTTCGTAACCCTTCACTTTTGAATATTTCATTTGGCCTTAATTCCAATCAGACAGCCATCGCTCTAGATACCGTTCCGAAAGTCTCGCTCTATCTAACAGGTAGGTTATCCTTGTTCGAGATTCTTTTTAAAAACTTTTTTTAAAGTCTTGATTACAGCATGTTCAGTGACTGCAGTTTAGCATTATTTTCTTTTTCTAGCTCAAAATGAGCCTTGAAGGAACGTGAGCAATTCAAGATATTAAAAGTGCACTTGGCTGATTAATAAATTCACAAAAAGTGTGCTCTGGAGCAGTTGTTTAGAAAGTTACTGAAACGAAAGCTAGAGCTTTGAAAACGATGGGAGTGTGGTCGTGAAATATTATAGTTGCGGTGATCAATCCTTGTGCGTTTGTTTGTGTAGTGCAACGCGGGCATGTAAATCTCAAACTTGGGTAATTAAACTTCATGTAGTAACCAAGAATAACATGACTGAAGTCAATAAGTAACTAGATAAAGTCTTCAAAAATTCACGAGGTGTTAGTAGGTATGTCTAAAGAGGAGTTCATAAAAAAGCATTTGTATCGTAATAAGAGCAACATAGCAATAACAAGCGACAAAAAAACTCGTAAGAACAGAAACTAGCAATTGAAGAGTGGTTGTATTGCTAGTGAGAGTCGCAGTATCGGACAAAGTATTAACCCTTTGACGACAATGCGGATTTGCACGTAGCATGTTCTTGGGACCACGCCTCTTTTTGGCGCGGCCAACTCTTACACATAATTGGGCAAAATTGCGAGCTTTCTAGTGTGCTCAGTGTTTGTGTATACTAAGTGCTGATGTTTCTCTTTCAATGCCATAGCCGTAAGAAGTTGCAACCGCTAAATCATCCAACATCCAAAGCATGATAGTTGTTTATGCTAGTCCTGATAGCGTAAACAACTATCGTGCAACTTGAACAAAGGTATTAGTTATCCCAGCTTATTCAGCTAGACCATGTTAGTTTTCGGAAAATGATTTGTTTTTGATCTGAAAAAAATGTTTGTGGGGTTGACGAGCTACGGTAAATAACTGTTTTATCACCAACAGTATAGTCACCTTCGTTAATAACATCACTCACTCAGATTCATCAAAAGCATGAGTTCTGTTCAACAAAGAGCCCGGCAGTGCTCATTTTTGTTCACCGCCTATGTACTTTACCGGTAAGCGCGGTAGCGAGCGGAGCCAAACTCATTAAACCACTCAACTTCGAGATTTTCGACGTTTTCTCAATCAAAGCAAAGAGCATCAGATCTCACTTATTATAAGGAGCATATTTCATTTTCATTCTGAGGCTAACAGCAAAACCCTATTCACCGCTAAATTGTCAGGATTCAAGAAAAATGCTGGGTGTTTACAGAGTTGTGATAAATACCAGCTCAGCTTCGCTTCCACGCGCATCATGATGGACTTCGTGAAAGTGGAGAGCCTCAGGTCATTTGAATAACATATCCAATAGTGAGGTGCATTATGGAGTAGATCAGCAGATGTTCCTCAGGTCCTCTAGTTTCGCTAAAGCCTACCGTTTTAGGGGGCGGAGCAAAACTGGTATAAAGATACGTGAAAAATTGTAGTCAGCCTATAAGGAGGAAGCAAAAGTGGGCGTGTTGTGTCAATAGTTTTGACCATGCCTTTGTTCGCCGTAGTTCGAACGCAACTGCACTCCTTGACTCTTGACCTGGTTAGTCAGTTGAAGTTCCTGAGGTTTAAGTTACTCCGACCTCACCAAGCAGTACCACGTGATCGAATTATATACAGATTAATGCAAAATCCGCTCGGAAAAGCAAGTTTAGCTGTCTTATAGTTTACGTGACGTCAGATTGGAACTGCAAAGGAATGAGGAGCTGAGTGCAAACGTAACTATTATGGAACAATATCGCGCAATGTGGTAATTTTCTAGAGGCATGACTTTATTCTCGACTGACGGTATATTCTGATTTCCTTCGTTTGATTGGAATTGAAAGATTGGTCATCGCATGAATGCAGTTATAGCGAAATTTTCCATCTGATGTTTCAGTATCATTCCATACAGCACACCTTGGTAGAGACTTTCACTCAGTGACCATTTTCATTCCATGCAGTGAGACAAAATGTAGAAGACGGCGCGTAGTTTGATGGAGTCATAAGTGGTTGGTTTGGCAGATGACAGACCAATTTCCTTTTTGCCTTCCTCAATTTCTTCTACAATTTCTTCCGCCAACTGTTCTTGGAATACGTTAGCGTGTTGCTGTAGAAGGTGACGTGGTCTGCTGGAGAAGTCCAGAACTCCGAAGGATATAACTTCATACTTTCCTCTATCGGACTGTTCTATCCAAATCGTGATCTCCAGATGGTATCAGAGCACTTGTATCATAATAAGAGGAGTACAGCAATAACAAGCAACAACAAGCGTGTAAGAACATGAACTAGCAATCGCAAGAGTAACTGTATTGCTCATGAGAGTTGCAGTATCGCAAAAAATATTGAGGAAGGGAATGGACCATGTAGAGCTGGGCTCTAGGCCTCTTCTTGATCCTTTTATACTAGCCTTTCGGCACGCAATCACGATCACCTTCGGTGGTTGGTTTATCACCCAATCAGTTATTCGAACAGTGAATGTCGCGTGGACTCCGCGATAAGTCGGACCTTGCGGGCCTTGCCACGGATCAGCCAAAAGTTCTGAATTAAGCACTCGTGCACTAGACCATTGAGAAGGTTTTGCTCAATTCGGACGAGTATGGTTTCTGGACCAAGATAGGAATTAGCTGGAAAGTCCAAAAAATTTGATAGGGGCGTGCCGCGACAAATCACCAATTGAAGGGTCGTCCATCAAATTGTCGCTTGTTTTATGTGATGAAAGCGACTCGTTTTCTACAGATTTGCGACGTACAATAAAGAGCGGATTCTTCTCTATAGTCTACGAAGTTTGCTGAATAGATCGACGGCGATGAAGCTCTACAAACTTTGCAAACTAAACTGTGCGGAGGAAGGTCACCGCAACTTTTATAAGGTCAGTATATAGGGCTGGCCAAGTTCTCCCGAACCAAGTAGAGCTGTCACAGTGGGAAAGCACTATCAACATTACGACTGGATTCTCCAAATTTTCCGAGACACGAGGCCAGCAATTCTCATTACAAATGGAAGCACACAGTGTCATCGGTGTCTTGGACGTACACCGCACGACCAACCATGCACAATGTGGACCACCTAGGCTCGAGGAATGCTGCATTCATCCTACTCAGTAGCCCTCCGATCGAATATCATTTTTTCGAAGACCTCCACGACTCCCTAAAAGAGAATGCTCCGAAGCGTACATGCTGGCTTGTAAGACGACGTTTCCTCGTTTACCCCCTAGATCTCCTAGAATTTCTGATATGAACGAACTCATTGGAAAAGCATTTTAAGTATCAATGTGTTGGCAGCATCCAACAATTTGAATCCGATATGTGGTTTTAAGCCGAGATACATAGCTTGAAAGAGTTAATAATTCCTTCTGTTAGATACATGTGCATCTAGAATAGCTCTAAACTTTAGGTCATCTTCCTTTTTTTCCATTCCTAGCTCGAATCGAGCAGTTTTAATCACCTTTCACAGTAACGTTCATTCTTACCCTTATAAGAGTACAAGAAATCTTCTAAATATCGAAGAATGTCCTGATGTTGCTCGATGCAATTCTCTTCACTGTAGGTTTTCTTGAGCACTTTGCTGTCGCTGCTCTCAATAGCCACTTGAAAAGGCCTGAAAAATGGTCTATAGCCATGCATTGCAACAATTCGGCGTGATACGGGTAAGATGCGATAAACACGACGAAGTTCGAGGTGATGGGATTTGTGCGGATGTATCCTCTCACACATTGCTGCATGTACATCGACGTCAAAGAGTTGAAAAGAGAGTGGAATGCAGAGACCAGGCAAAGGAAAGTGACCAAAATTCCAATGTCGCAAAATTAAAATCCTATCGAAGAGGATCAATAAGATGAACCTTTTTTTAATACTTTAATCACTTCGCTACTTTGAACTGGATAAAGGTTGGCTATTACAGGAGGCGGGGCTTCCAAGAAGGGCGGTGTGTGTAGCTATGGTGCATTTAAGCTGCTCCGCTTGGTTCCGGCAATAAGAAATCATTTCGCTATTCTTAAAGGAAGCAGTCACGATAATTTTCATGGCAACGATAAGGAAAGCTATGTATTGGAGTGGATAGAGGTCCTGCCCAATGTTAGAACACGTAAAGTTTCAGTGGCAGTGGCCCCTTATCAATGAAGTGATAAGGAGCCGAAATTCACTCAAGTTCAGCAAAACCCAAGACTTATCGATGTGGAAAGGGGTGCGATAAGAGCGTGCTAGATATGATACCGTTATCGTTATCGTCCCGTTTTCATTCTGGAGTGCACCTCTTATCAAGCAGCCGCACCTTCTTATCTCATCGTATCATATCTTCCATGGGCTTACACTCGTCCAACAATTACTGCCTCACACCTTATCGATTGATAACGCGAGGATAGCAAATCCAGCTAATAATTGCTACCTCATGTAATGATCTGTGGGCTGGTTTTCGAATCCCCAGCAATTTGGCCAATTCATTACCCCAAACATCCAATCCTCGGCGAGAAGAGTCTGAATGAACATGAATATGATAAAAAAGGAAATCGCCCGTCTCAGTCACTTCCACAACTAGAGCTCAACACAAATGCGGGACGCAATTTTAGAAAAGGACCTTTCATTGTGTTGTATCGGGGTTAGTTCGAGTTTTCAGCACTTTACATTCGTTAACACTCGATGAAAAAATGTAACTTACTACGTAACCCTTATTTGCGAACTCCTTAAACAATAAAGTTTCATTGTCAAGGTAACTACTGCAAAATTCTTCATAAGTCCAATCAGCTTCCAAACGGGGAAGACCAAACAACTGACGATCAACAGCTTCAATACGTTTGCCTGAATTTGAACTGTTGTCTTGAGAAGAAATCCTGATTTCAGATAAATCAGCAGTTTTCTAGTTCACTTGCTCCACTTTTTGTCTTCGAAGGAAAATCGAAGGAAATTTCATTGTGTTGGTCTTGAAACGGGTTTCAGCAGTGAGGCTAAATCTCTGGAGAGAAGCTCATCACTCCTGCACATATCTTTAGGGAGTAGGAAAAACAATGGAAGGAAGCTGATTCGGTAAGATTTTGATCACTGATGCCTTAGCAAATTCAGCGATTCCCTCACCCATTTCATAGCACTAATTCCACCACGAATCACTGTCTTCCTTATTTTGCCACAAGGGGTTCCTGCCACCAAGCTTTCTATGATCAAGAGGGGGATTCATGCATAATTCTGAGCGTTTCCCTTCAAAATACAACTGGCCATGCCAGATGGAGGCTACATTTGCCATTTGTGAGAGGTAGCAATATTTGTGGAAACCTCTCGACTACCGACCCACTATTTACCAACTAACGACTGCGTCGACTGGTCTACATAGAAGCCATTGGGCCCTGGGCCATCTGGAAAGGAATGGGAAAGGAGAGGCTCGTAAACTCTCCTTTTGGAATCGCTCTGGTACCATGCTTGACATTGGTACAAAATGAGCCGTAAATGTGCTTTGCTACGCTCCTAGCCGCGGAAGA